GCAGAAAGAATGGAAAAATTCAAGAATAGTGGAAGGATTAACAAGAGTCTTCGAGTCTTAATTTTCAACCTCTTGAGTTTGAGATTCTACCAATTACAAGAGTGTTTCACTCTTTTGCGAGTTTCGAACTCTTAAAAATTTTCTAATTTAATGACATGTTTCTCCTACTATTAAAAGAAGTCTCTAAACATCTATTAGAAATAAAAAAAATGCAGCGACTTTCGGTCTTTCAAAGACCATTTTCAAATAGTAATGTAGTTTCTAACTCCTAAGAAAGTTTACAGCAGTTAAGAGCCTTTGGCTCTTCAAAAATTCATGAATCAAATTCTCAACTCCATTTCTTAAAGGAGTTTTCAACTCCACTTTGTAAAGGAGTTTCTAACTCCATCTGTTCGGAGATGAAAGTTGCATGCGGCATCTCAAAAATTCTAAACCAAAAAAATGGCAGTGACCTCAGGTCTTTCAAAGACCATTTTAAGAAAAAAAATTTTACTTTAGTCTTTCAAAAACCATTTTAAAGCAGCATGAAGTTTCTAACTCCTAGGAAAATTTATAGAAATTAAGAGTCCTTGACTCTTCAAAAATTATGGAGTTTGGTGGAGCTTTAAACTCCTATTTGGCTTGTTACTAATCTTTTAATGTTGCAGCAAACCCTTAACAAAATGGCAGTAACTTCAGGTCTTTCAGAGATCATTTTAAGGAAAAATTTTGTTTTCGTCCTTCAAAGACCATTTTAAAGTAGTATGGAGTTTCTAACTCCTAGAAAAATTTATAGAAATCTTCAAAAAATTGCATCAATCAAAAGAATTTTCTTTTTAGCTACCACCTTGCTTAATTCGAAACCCATTGCAATTAAAAAAAAAAATTCAAATTCTACCCAGGGTCAAGTCAAGGAGTTTTTAACTCCTAAAGCTTTCCTAGGCACAAAAATGCAAGAATTTTACACTCTTTAAAGTACCGAAGTCTATTGTTTCTTTCAAAGGGAGTTTCCAATGGTGTAAGAGACTTGAGTTCATTCTCAGCAAAACTAACAAATAGTTTTAGACTCTCAAGTTGGCAAAATAGTGTTACACTATACTTGCTACAAACTAATGGAGTTTTTAACTTCTAAAAGGTCTTGGAGTTTTTAACTCCTAAAAAAATAGAGCCTTCGACTCCCCCAAATATTTAAGCAACAACTGGATTGCTGCCCAAACAAATTCACTTGATTTCTAAATTCATGCTTGCTCATTGCTAAGAATCTTGAATTCTTTAATTTTGGTTCGCAACTTCTCTTGGCAAATCCTATAGGTGCAGCCCATAAAATGACTTGTTAATGGAGAAGAAAATTTAGATTAAAAGAATTTATAACTTGTCTAAATTGACATGGAGTCTATGACTCCTTTTAAGTGACAATTCGATTATTTAAATCCTTCACTATTTTTTGGAGCTTCAACCTCCTATAAATTAAATAGTGTAGAAATTAAATTAAAGAGTTTTTAACTTTTTACAAATTTTCAGGAGGTTTAAAACTCAACGATCTTTATGAAAAGAGTCTTGGACTTTTAATAGATTTTTGAGTTTCAAACTCACATAAAGTCAATAATCTTTCATGAAATTTAATTTCATCAAATCACACCCTATGTAAATCCTAAAATTCACTCAAATACAACTTCATTCAAATCAAATGGGTCATTCACTCATTTCAAACCAAATTAAAGGAGTCATTCACTCATTTAAAACCCCACTAAAATTCAAAATTATTTATCGAACTACGTCCGACTTGATTCTAATTTTTTTTTTGGATACGTAAGCAGTCCAGCAACTACCCCGGGCACAATCGAAATTTCAAATCACCTTCAATTAAATTTCAAACTACGCCCGACTTGATTTCATTTCTGGATACGTAGGCAATCCAACATCTACACTAGGCACAGTCACATTCCTAAATAAATTTCAAAACCTCCGAACTACGTTCGACTTGATTCCCTTTTGGGTACGTAGACAGTTTAGTTAAACTAGGCGCAGTCTCAAGTCCAAATTAACTTTAAATAAATTTTAAATTCTTATTTTTGAACTACGTCCGACTTGATTCCATTTCTTGATACATAGACAGTCCAGCATCTATGTTGGGCATAGTTGCATTCCTAAATAAATTTCAAAACCTCTAAACTACGTTCAACTTGATTCCCTTTCAAATATGTAGGCAATTTAGTTAAACAAGACGTAGTTGCAAGTTCATATTAACTTCAAATAAATTTCAAATTCTTATTTCGAACTACGTCCGACTTGATTCCATTTTTAGACACGTAGGCAGTCTAGCAACTACCCTGGGCACAGTCGTAATTTTAAATCACCTTCAATTAAATTCTTAAATTCTGAACTATGTTTGACTTGATTCCCTTTCAGATACGTAGGTAGTCTAGTTAAACTAGGCACAGTTGCAAGTCTAAATTAACTTCAAATAAATTTTAAATTCTTATTTTGAACTACGTCAGACTTGATTCCACTTGTTGGATACGTAGGCAGTCCAGTATCTACATTGGGCACAATCACACTCCTAAATAAATTCAAAATTCTTTGCATGAACTATGACTGACTTGATTCCCTTTCGGATACGTAGGTAATCTAATCAAACTAAGCGCAGTTACAACTCCTCCACAATCAAGTGGTCCTTAAACCCATATCAATTCAAATGGTCATTTACTCATTTCAAACATAATAGATATTTTATCCATTCAAGATCAATGGGTCATCTACCCGTTTATCTTACCCCAAAAATAATTTAATCTCCTTGAACTACAAATCAACTTGATCCTGATAACAGGTACGTAGAGTAGCCTAGGTAGTTAACCTAGGTCCAGCCACCATCACAAATAAAATGCCCTTGTGATGTAAATGATAACGTGTGATAATTTCTTGTTAGAATCAAAGGGTGTTCTCTTGAAGTAAGAGATTATAATTAATGGATATATATTATCTGGAATGGGTCTAATCTACATTTAATAAAACTCATATAATTTTTTGTTATATGAGTGAAGTCATGTTGGACAAAATATTCAAATTTTTTCCCAACAGGAGTGAGGGGCGACGCCTCCTTGGGCGAGCATAAACTGTATGATCTGCTGATTTTGATTCACCAGCAGTTACATGGTTTGTAACAAATGTTGTCCGACGATAGGGGTCGTCGTAGTGGACAATTTCGAGGGTGCGAGGGGGACAGAGCCTCCTCCCAGTGGGCCTGGTTGTTGTCTCCCGGTTGCTGACTCATCGATCTAGTCATAATTACCATGGATTGAGAAAGAGAGAGAAAGTGAGAAAACTTAGTCATTTTTCATAGACGGCGCCAAACTGATAATGCACAAATTGGTATTGCGCAAGATCAACAACCAAGTATATGAATGAGTGTAATTAATAAGCAATCACTAGCAAAGCAATAAATATTGAGGCAACACAAAGATTTATAGTGATTCGGTCTGGGTGACCTACTCCATTCTCGAGAATGGCAGCGGTGGCCATAGATCTTTATTGATGAATAATATAGCTGGGAGAGTGTACTTCAGATGAATTACAACGCCTTGGGAGCGAGGACCAATGTGTGTAGAGAGGTATAGTGTGTGTAGAGATCTCAAGGTTGTAGAGATCTCAAGGTCATAAGGTCATGCCCTATATGTGGAGAGAACTTACATTATATGGCATGGTGAAGCAGTGACGTGAGTGAAAGGGCTGTTACTATTTTGGTAAGTACAATTAATGTAGGATTAGATCTCCATGCGTATCCCAATATTCTTTCCCTCGTGCTCCTATTCCGTCGGAGGACAATCTTGAGCTAGATTGGACTTGAGTTAGAGTGAGCAGGGTTGGACTTGAGTTGGAGTGGCAAAGTGAGGAGGGATACCATAGAGGCGGTGCAGAGGAGGGGGAGTGTGGAACAAAGGAGAGCAAGGGTCCCCTTGGGCGGCGCCCCTTTGGGGTGGCCTCCTTCGGGCGCTGATGTCTTGACCTTCCTTTGGGCTTAGCCCGAATGATTTGGACCCCTTGTTTTATTGGGCCTAATCCAGTTGACTTTGAGCTCATCAAAAGATACCAACATTGTCATGGAAAAACACCATGCCCCTCTGCAGACAAAAGTTTTGATAAATTCGTATGTGGGGTTTCATACATTAGCTCATCTTCTTCTTTTTTAATCTGACTTTAATCCACATTAAAACAACATAGTCTTATACCCAAATACTTCTCACATAGACACATTCACTGAAACACATGAAGGTGACCGTGGATAATCCATGAAACACCCACCTAGACTAATGGACCGTCTCTTTTACATTGAGGTTGACTAGCCCGGCTCATTAACTAGTAAAGTCTGGCCCAATCCTATCCTGGGTCATTTCCAACCTAACCTGAGACTCTTCTTTTTTTGGATAAGAATGGAGAAGACTAATTAGTACACAACGATTTTCCTTGAGCATAACCACAAGGGATTCTACAGAAGAATGTCTGATTTGAGCCATAGTTATTAATTCAAAATGATGATCCGTCACCATGCCATTAAAGACAAGTAGAAAATTACGTTTCTTTCATGGATCGAATCATATTTATTTATCATTATCCCATTAATTCTGAAACTCTTCTGTTGGTTAGGTTTAGAAGACTTTGGATAGAAAAATATTATTTGAAATTTATTTGGGGATATAATTCAATAATATAATTTAATACAGCTACTGAATCGATGGTGAGCTCTATTTATCATTAAAAGTCATAATTAATTCAATAATTACGTTAAAACTACATCTTTAAATTCTTAAATTAAATCTCCAAATTACATCTGTATGATTGCTCCTTTGGTAGGGATCAGGTGATTGAGAAACAGCACCAAAACATATCTCTCGTGGGCCCCATTTTCCTGACTTGGTCTATGAATACAAGTGGGTTTGTTCCGAATCAATCTCAGCCATTTGATCTAAATCTAACGGTTGTCAAGACGCGTCTACCTAAGTCATTTGGAATCTATGCGACACCCACTCTCTCTCTCTCTCTCTCTCTCTCTCTCTGTGTCTCCCCTCTCGCTGCTTCTGCTGTCTCGCCGGTGGACAACAGAATAAATAAACCCTAGAATCCCCAAAACACCGTCGTTTCAAGCCCTCCTTCCCGAAAACGCAAACCCAGTTGCTTTAAACCCTGAACGCTCTATTGGGTGATTATCTCTCTCTGTCTCTCCCTATCTCTCTCTCCCACACACACTTAGTTACACGTATTTATGTATGTATCTATGTATGCAGCGTGTTACATGTTTGTGTTTCTGTCTGTGTTATTCTGTTTCAGTGGTTAAGCTGAAATTCTTGGTAGGTATGAGGTTTGCCACAGGGGTGATGCTTAAGAGTGTAGGCAATAAGTGTAATTGGGGTTGTTATGAATTTTTTTTTTTTGGTCATGGGTTGTTATGAATTGACTCTCTGAAATTCATGCAATTTCTTATTATTAAGTGATTAAGCAAAAGCTTATGTGTGGGTATGTATATATTTATATATGTATATTTGGTATAAATTGTTGAAAAATAGTTTTCTTGTCTTAAAAATTGTAAAAAATTAAGGAGGATAAGAAAGCATGTTGTTTGATTGAATTATAACCGTTAACAGATTTAGCCGAACCCTAATAGGGGGAACCAGGTTTTGTAGAGCTGAACTTACTTCCCTATATTTGTCTTAGTTGCGGTGGAATTCATTTCATATCAAATACCCTGCATTTTATCTTTTTAACATTTTCCTTAGTTGTATTGGTTTAGAAGTGGTGGGAAACAGGGAAGGGGAATATCAATAAGAAATTTTGTATTATATCTCTGACTATTGGGTACAAAATACAGCCAAAGTGCCAGACTTTTCACATTATGAGTTGAAGAAATTAAATAGAAGATAAAGATAATTTTCGGTCCTTATAGTTTCCATTCATATCTCAGCAAAATAATTGACAGAATGTTATGCTGTGTGTGATTATCTTGAAGGAAATGTAAAACTAGATGTTTACTTTATTTGCTAAATTGTGATAGCGATCAAGTGGAGCATTTCACTTTGCTCTCCAAATGCGGACAATTCTTCATATGGTCTAATGATCAGTGATAGAGTAACTCATCAAAAAAGGAAGAAGAAAAGAAGTTCTTGATACTTAAACAGTTGAAACTTTATGCAGACTGCAAGTATTAATTCTTCAACAAGATGCATGGGATTCCTACATAGATGGTGCTATGATTGATATATGCATAAAATAGCATTTAAAAGTAGTATGGATGTTGAAGTGATTGATGTGGAAGAGGGGAACATGGGCCAACGGGACCTCACAGATGATGGAGATGATGACTTCAATGAGGGTGGAGAAGTGAACACCTTTGGAGACTCAACTGCTCAGGATGAGGATGGGGATGTCGAGCCCCATGTAGGTATGGAATTTGATTCTGAAGATGCCGCTAAGACTTTCTATGATGAGTATGCCAGGCATGTGGGTTTTAGCACCCGCGTTGGCCAGAATAGCCGGTCCAGGAGTGATAGGACTGTTACTACACGGGAGTTTGGATGTGCCAGAGATGGCTTAAAAAGAAGAGCTGGTGATAGCTGCAATGCAATACTAAGAATAGAATTAAAGGATAAAGATAAATGGGTGGTGACGAAATTCGTGAAAGAGCATAGTCACTCCACAGTGAGTCCGAGTAAGGTGCATTACCTCCGACCGCGCCGGCATTTTAGTGGTGCGACAAAGAACATTGCTGAAGCTTATGAAGGGGTTGGAATTGTTCCAAGTGGTGTTATGTATGTGTCAATGGATGGAAATGGTGTGCCTCTGGAAACAAATCGTGGATCTAGAAGTGGTCCTCTTGTAGATTCAACTCGTGCAGTCAGGAACACAGGGTCTGTGAGTTATGCTGTTAGACATGCTAGTCAAAAAAGGACATTAGGGAAGGATGCTCAAAATCTGCTGGATTATTTCAAGAAAATGCAGGCTGAGAACCCAGGGTTCTACTATGCTATACAACTTGATGACGATAATCGCATGGCTAATGTATTTTGGGCAGATGCAAGGTCTAGAAGTGCCTACAGTCACTTTGATGATGCCGTTACGCTCGATACTATGTACAGGGTTAACAAGTATAGAGTGCCATTTGCTCCTTTCACAGGGGTGAACCATCATGGTCAGACAGTTCTGTTTGGTTGTGCATTACTTCTAGATGAATCTGAGGCAACGTTTGTCTGGCTGTTCAAGACTTTTCTCACTGCAATGAATGATCATGCCCCTGTCTCTATTATAACTGATCAGGACAAAGCCATACAATCAGCCGTTTCTCAGGTATTTCCTGAGGCCCGCCACTGTATTAACAAGTGGCATGTATTAAGAGAAGGCCAGGAACGGTTGGCTCATGTATGTCATGCACATCCTAATTTTCAGGTGGAGCTCTATAACTGTATCAACATGACTGAGACAATTGAGGAATTTGAACTAGCTTGGGATTCTATCCTAGAAAAATATGATCTCAGGAGGAATGATTGGCTTCAGTCATTATACAATGCACGCGGACAATGGGTCCCAGTGTATTTTCGGGATTCTTTCTTTGGTGCAATTTCTCCAAATCAACGAAATGAGAGCTCTTTTTTTGATGGTTATGTAAATCAACAGACTACCTTACCGATGTTCTTTAGGCAGTATGAAAGAGCTTTAGAAAATTCAATTGAAAAGGAAATAGAAGCAGATTTTGATACACTTTGCACCACACCAGTATTGAGGACACCATCACCAATGGAAAAGCAGGCAGCGAACCTATACACAAAGAAAATTTTTTCAAAATTTCAGGAAGAGTTGGTTGAGACATTCGTGTATACAGCAAACAGAATTGATGGTGATGGGGCAATTAGCACATACAGAGTTGCAAAGTTTGAGGATGATAGAAAAGCCTACATCGTGTCTCTAAACATTCAGGATATGAGAGCAAATTGTAGCTGCCAGATGTTTGAGTACTCGGGCATCCTCTGCAGACATATTTTGACAGTTTTTACCGTGACAAATGTACTTACTCTGCCATCTCATTACATCGTGAAGCGGTGGACAAGGAATGCAAAAAGTGGGGTTGGACTAGATGAACATGGTGAACTACATGGCCAAGAGGTGCTGACCGTGCGGTACAACAATCTATGTCGGGAAGCCATCAGATATGCTGAGGAAGGGGCTGTAGCTCCAGAGACATACAATGTGGCAATGGTTGCTCTTAGAGAAGGGGGCAAGAAGGTGGCTGTTGTGAAGAAAAATGTTGCAAAAGTTGCACCCCCCAGCTCACAGGTTAGTGGGGTTGGTTACGAAGATCGGAGGACCTCTACTTCAGTGCCAGATATGACCCCTCCTCTGTTGTGGCCACGACAAGATGAAATGACCCGACGTTTTAATCTCAATGATGCTGGCGTCCCTGCACAACCTGTTGCAGATTTGAATCTTCCACGCATGGCCCCCGTGTCTCTTCACCGTGATGATGGCCACCCTGATAACATGGTAAGAAATTTTGTTTTGAATCCTTTGGTGTAAATATCATTTATTTATAGTATGGCGGAAGTTAATTTTGGCTCTATTCTCTCTTTTTCCCTCACAAATAGGTGATTCTTCCTTGTCTCAAGTCAATGACCTGGGTGATGGAGAACAAGAATTCGACACCTGCCAACCGAGTAGCTGTAATCAACTTGAAGGTACGCTTTGCAGATCTTCATGTAAACAGTGACAACATTGAAAACAATATTTAAAGACAAAATCTGTTATTGCTCTTGTCACCAAGGATCAAAATATCGTTTCGAAATGGTCAAAACATCCGAAACGTTTCCGTTTTCAAGGAGACCGAAACGAATCAGTGGTGGAATAGAAATTCTAATACTTAGAAGTGTTCCATAATGTTTCAAAATGTTTTGTTATATTTCAATATATTTGCATAATTATTTCGGAATATTTCAAGATATTTTGGTATATTTTGACCAATGTATTGAAAAAATAATTCTTAAATTTTTAATTTTTTTTCTTTATGTTTTAAAACGGGTCGAAACATTTTCGAAACACGTCAAAATGTTTCCGTTTCCTAAGTGACTGAAACAATACACCAAAATGAAATTTTAGTCCTTGCTTATCACTAAATTATGGAATAGGCTTTTGAAGATTGTAGGAATCCCTTGCGTGTGTCCAAAAAGCTGTGACTTGGTGTTCTCCAATGGGTACGGTGGTTTTGATTATACCAATAAAGCCAAGATCTTATGGAAATGTGTGGCGTTGACTTTATTTTAGGTGGCGTGGTTGGAAAGAAATTGGAGAAATTTTTGAGGATAAGGAGTCTCTTTGGGAAGTCTTATGGGATAAAAAATCATTCGTAGCTTCTCTTTGGGTTTCACTGGCAAAGGATTTTGAAGGAATGCCATTGCTATGGATTAAAGATCATTGGGCACAAGTGTGTGAAGAGTGTTGATACATGACGGCACTTTTTCATTGCTATTTATCTTTTAGAATGTTGCCAAGTTTTAAACTTTTTCTTTCAAGTTTTCTTTTCCCTTTGTTTGTTGTATGTTTCAGAGGACTCCTTGTTCTCACATGTATTTCTCGCATTTGGCATTTGGTAATTGTAATACAAGTCGTGTATTATCAAAAAAAAATCTGTTAATTCTCATTATGATCAGTCGTCTTATTTTATTGCCATATGAATTTCAAGTTTGATATTCAATCATAGACAGGATAGGCCAAATACTTGCTGTTTAGATTCTCAGGGGTGCATTCGACCATTGAGCAAAAGCCTTATGTTTGATATTTTCTGCTTGCAGTTACAAGATTATAGCAGGACACCATCGGGAGAATCTGAGGTTAAGTTTCAGCTGTCAAGGGTCACATTAGAGCCCATGTTGAGGTCAATGGCCTACATCAGTGAGCAGCTTTCTACCCCAGCCAATAAGGTTGCTGTTATCAATCTAAAGGTTTGTAATCCTGAAATGTAATTTGTAATATCATAAGACAAAACTATGTTGATTTTGTTATTCATTTTATTGCTTGGGATTGATAAGCTATTTATGATGCATTACTACCTCATTTCCTGTTCTGATTGATCTGATTTCCTATGGCCTTAAATATGTTGTCCAAAAATTCAGGTTTTGTCATTATGGTATCTTCTGTTTTGTGATTGTGTTGGACTGAAAAAAAAAGGTAAGAAATAAGAAATCATATGGATCCTGATATATAGTTAAGTGCTTGCTATTTTTGTTGTCTATGCTTGTGGCCAGAGACGGAACTACAACAGGGCCTACCCACTTCTCATAACCCCTGTATAGAAATAATAGCTAGAGAATGAAGTCTAATGATATATTGTGTTGGCCCCCCACAAAGACTATTTCTATAAAGCTTCCAGATTAGTGTTATTTTAATCAGGTTAGAATTCTAAACAAGCAATTAATAGCAATTATAACCTAAATCTCGGTCATCAAGACCAAAAAATATTAACTTTCTTAATATATCTAAATTCCAATGAAGCAACTTAAGAGTCCTAACTTAATTAGAAAACAAAACCTTCTAAAACACAAAAAGAACTTTGTACACCAAGAAGGCCAGAACTATAGACATGAAAAGAGTTTAGAAATGTCACCTATTAGCTGCAAAATTGACGAACAAAAGTAGAGGAAAAGAAGACAATTTTTTCATTGATCGATTAACAGGTTTTTTTTTTTTTAACATAATCAATTAACAGGTTAGTGGTCTATATTTTTAATACGAATAATATATATAAAATTTAAAATGTTGGAAAAGTGTGTTATTTATTTCTTTGTTCATTTTATTTAGAATAAGCAATGATAAATGTTTGATTATTGTCACTAGTTGGGAACATTAAATCTATAATATTTTTTCTATTTCTTATAGTTTTTGAACTTCATGAAATTATTCTATGTAATACTAAACTATTCTTTTCGTTCATTTTATTTTTTTGTCGTATCTTTGTTTGTATTGATTTCTTGACATATTTTTATACATTAGAAATTTGAAAATCAAATTATAAATATGGTTCACGTTGTTAATATAAGTTTCTATGCATGGGGTTTGCTCCCCCCCAAAAAAAAAAAAAGTGATGAAATCCTGGTTTCATCCCTGCTTGTGGCTAAAATTATGTGTATTGGGAAAACACCTGATTTTCTCTTTACGTTGACAATTCTCTTATATGCGTATCTCAATTGTTATAGTTTGACACATGGATATTCTTGCATCCTCTTATTCCTCTGCATTCATGACACATGGGGTCTTATAGACATGTTGTTATATGAATTATGCATTTGATGTGGGCATTCTTCTCTTATATCCTTTCAGCTCCAAGATACGGAAACAACTTCAGGGGAATCAGAGGTGAAATTTCAGGTGTCAAGGGATACGTTAGGGGCCATGTTGAGGTCAATGGCTTATATTCGTGAGCAGCTCTCTAATGGGGTAAGCATTCTCTACCTACTTGTATAGAAATAATTTGATCTACACAATGCACAGAAACCTATACCTCTCTTTCATATGCTTTTCTGAAGTCTGTTTTAAAAATGACCCCTCCTAGTCCTTGACCTTCGTCCTATATTCCTCTACACTCCGTTTGCCAACAAAGCACTATCCAATATTTCTTGTCCGTTTACAAAAGTAGTCTGATTTCCCTCCTTCAACCTAATGTACAAAACTTTAATTAAAATCCTGTACAGGCCTGTTTGCCAAAAATCACTAATATTCATAGAATCATGCTTTTTGTATGTCAGAAAAATACAAGTCGTACTAATAATCACACTAGCCACTCCATTCTTAGAAACCTCTGCAAACACTTCCATTAAACCATCCTTTACCACTTCGCAACATTCTTGAAACAAAGCCATCGGGAATCCATACGAGGCATGGGATATATCTCTGCTACACTCATCCTCTCCTAGTGCTGTGCCCTTCAACTCAAATCCTGGAAAGCACCCCAACTTTGATCTGATACCGTTTGCATTGGAGTACCACATCAAGGGATACTGGTATGAATCAAGAGTCTCTGATCCTTAATTTTAGCATAAACAAATTTTCCAGGTTAAGCGAACTGGGATAAGCTTCAACAAAGCCACCACAGTAGTCTGTTTCCATAAATGATAATGTAATCCTTCTATGACAATCCAACCCCCAAGGAAGAATACTTTGTTTCGACCGAGTTAGTCTTAGGCATCCATTTCTGAAAATTGACTGGAAACGGGCCCTCCAGCAAACACTTCTCCCAGTTCTGCTTTTTCAGGGCCTCCACAGAACATATGACTTTATCGGGAGCAGCTTCACTTCGAACTTCAACATCCTAGCTTGAGCACAGTTAATCCTACTCCCAGGGGTGAAAACACTCTCTCTAATGCATACCACAGCACAATTCCATCTCCCGGCAGCAATTAGCTCTTCTTCATTGGAAACTCCATTAGAAGAAAACTCAGCTCCTCCCAATAGTCATTTTATGATAGTTGCAGCAATATCAATCCACCTTTTACCCTCCACTTCTGCAGGGATGATCAAACCCTTTCGTTCACTATTGTCTGGCAGCTTTGAAATTTTGATGAAAGCACACCTTCCATTATCAACAAGTTCAAACCACAAACTGTATTCCTCACTCCTAAATTTTCTCAAAATATACATTTGTTCAAATCCCAAACGCCCCATGTGATAACAATCTTAAGCTAGATAGCACATTTACAATACACATCGAGAGAGAAAACTTTGGGGCGATTAGTTTTAGTTAAAACGAATTAGCTGTCTACACATCTTGAAAAACTTGCTCAATCTGTACCTCAGCTATTGTTATACTACTTAGTTTCAACCCTTAGGCTTTCCAAACCAATTCGAAGGCTCAAATGTAGAAATACGCGTCAGCCTTTCATCATCCCGCATAAGTATGATGACCTATGATTGTATAAGAAGATTCTTAACAAGGAGGATTTTTTTTGGCAGGCTGAGTCTCTATCAGAAACCCCGTCAAAAAAGCAACGGAAGTAGATGCAATGTTCTTTCTGTTTTATTAGCAGGTGTGTGATTCTCTCACCTTCGTGGATGGTATTGGTTATCTCATCAAAACTGTGCCACCACTTTCGAGTTTGGGATGGTTTGGGTTGTTCCTCTTTAGAGTAGGGTAGCTTCTGTTGCATTTCCATGTAAGCTTGCTCTTCTGCATATTTATACATGTAAAGTTACCAAGCCAGAATTCTGTTCTCGGGTGTGATATGGTTTTCACTGTACAATGCCTCAGAGTAGATGAGGCTGTTGTGTATGCGTTTTCTAGGTTCTCTTTCTTTCCACATGATAAAATCAACAAAATACATGATGATTTCTCTCAGAGACAAGCTGCTCTAATTATTTAGCCTTTTCATCATCTCTAACCATCGGAAGAAGTATTGATGCTCACCACAGCATCATCCTTGAGTTTTTTGGAATGCACAGGAATTATGGATGGCAAAAAAATTTCCATTGCCTACACCAGTATGAGTTTGCTGCTCTTTTTTTCTCTTTTTTTTTTTTTCAGGTCGTTGCAGCTGTAATAATTTTACTTTTGTTTGTATACAGGATCAATCTAGTTGTGGCTGGTTATAGCAATTTCTTTGTTTTGTGGCGTCTTTTGTTCTAATGGTAATTCTTCAACTCTCTCATTCAGTTATAAATGCAACAGGAAAATGAAATGGAATGACAGTACTCGTTGGATCATCATGTAATATACCACCTTTCTTTCCTGTTATGGTATTTATTTGGTATTCTTTGGCCTGGATGGATGTGCGTGTTGCCTATGTGATTATCCCAGGAGACATCAAGTGCGAAGCCTACTCAACAGGTAGAAGCTTCAAAAGATAACCTAGCTTCGAAGGTGATTAACAATTAAGGAATCATTCGAGGCTGCAGTGACGGTAATGAGGTGGCAATGGTAGCGCCGACAGCACGGTGAAGGTGGTGGGTGGAGTGACGATGGTTCAAATATAACATCTATAATATAAAACAGGTTAGGTTTTAATAAATCTACCTAATGATTTCAAATAGACTAATCTAGCAGTCATTAACATCTTTCTCAATATTAGAGGTGTCAATCGTGTCTTGTTCATGCGACCTGCATGTCATGTGTGTCAAGATTTACAAAAAAAAAATATATATATATATATATATATATATATATATATATATATATATATATATTTAATGTTTTTTGAGTATTAAATATTAGTTTATATTATTTATTGAGTGTATTTAATAATCGTATCAATTTTATAATCGTTTATATCGGATTTGTATCAATGAGTAAGAACTGACACCCTTACTCAAAATTATTTACATGATACCGTATCTTCAAGTACGAGTTACTCCTAATACGTAATAAGTTTAGTTGTTAAACCTGACATTTGACTCACATTAACCCGTTTAAATAACTTTCTTGATGTTAAATTACGCGTTTGGAACTCAAAAATATAGCAGATGCACAAACTGCAAATTTGGGGATTCAATGATGGGAGGTAAGAGATGGTAAATGAGCGGGTTAAGTTGGTTATGTGCTAGTTCAAAATGTGTTGAGTGTAAAATAAATTAAGTGAAATTTGAGGGTGACTCTCCCTAAATGTACTTTTAATGACTTGAGTTTTAAAAGAAAATTTATTTGGAGGGTATGTTCATATTTAAACTTATTTATAGGTACTTAAATACATTTATTTTTTAAATCTCAAAATTATCCTTAACGGTGTTAATTTTGTCCAGTTATAGAAAGTCACATAAGTTACATCATTGAGATATATATGAAACCATTGATTGAGTTATATATGAAAACTGTTTATTAAATATTATGATAAATGATGGAAGTTATATATTCTGATAACTATATATGAAAAGCTTAATGTACGAATAAATTGTTAGTCTATTAAATCAAAATCAAATAACAAAATTTTCTTAATAACAGCAATGCATAATATAGGGAGGGTAAACAATGCCAACAGAGATTCAATAACATGATTGTTAATATAGTAACATTCATGTTACTATATAATTAAAATTATAATTAGGGTTGTGTTATTAGTACAATTGTGTTATTATACTGACACTAAGTTATTATAGTGAATTTTAACATAAAATTGTAAATTTTGAGATGTATATTATGTAACATACACTTTAATATTCATAATAACATCAAAGTTTTGTGCTCAGTAATACATCTAATTTTACAAAATATAAGACAATAGTTTTTTTACAGTAACATCAACTTTTGAATGATTTTAGTGAACATACGATTCATAAATTGAAAATTTACAAAATGACAAGTAATAACAAACAATCGACAATTGAATTACAACACTCAACACTAATTATGAATATCAAGACATTGAAATTTTGAATTTCATTTTTCAGTTCACATACAGTAACATGAACTTTTTTCACAGTAACACAACCAAAGAATACTTGATTGTCTTGCGCAACAAAAAAATTAGCAAATCGAAATCTATTACACTTTAATTTAGGACTAGTTCTCTTGAATCTTAATTATCAGGTTAATACCCACTTTGACATAATTAAATTTCTAATTACTATTACTTTTTTACCATGTTATTATTTTTTTAGTGACCATGTTACTGTCTTTGATGAGTATATTATTATTGTTATTTTTAAAATATTAATATTTTGTCGATGGAATCCAAAGTAAACAGAAATAGTAAATTGAAATTGTAATTTATGAAATGTAATAGATTTGAAATTTAAATATAAACGATTTTTGGTAAATACCGATTTTTTGTTTTTCGATAAGCAAAATTGTGGCTTGGAAGATTGTAATCGGATTTGAAAGCAATTCTGAAGGAGATATATATGACTAGTTATTGTGTCCATAAACATTGTTTATAACATTTCTACAACAAAGGGTTACAATAGTAAAATTAACAAAAAACAAACTTAAAATCAAATAAATTTTCTTAACAGACTTATATCCTAATAAGTCCATATAAGAAGACCAGCTTCTAAATTTTTCATAAATTAATCTATTTTTAACCTGTTTAATAAACCGGTTATAATATGTTAGATTACAATAAGTTGGATTAAATTTATTATTAACTCATAAAATAATTAAAACTCTTAATATAAATACACATTAATACACCAAATAAAACACATAATAATACACACATTAATACATTATTGGGTAAATTACATTGACCTCCCTTGAGGTTTAGTCAAAGAACAATGAGACCCCCTCACATATGGGAAATAACACTAACCTCCCCTTTGCTTTTGTTGTCCGTTACAAATTCCCCAAATTGTTAGTGGATTGTTAAGACGGCGTCAAAAGCTTGCCGATATAAGCAACTTATTTTTCAAAAATACCAATACTACCCTTATTCAAGTTACATTTATCTTGCATTAGTAACCAAACAAATCATATCCACAATATTTGATAGCTTAAACATGCTTCCAAACAAATCAGCTCCTTTGACCCGACCACACCACAATAACCCACTTTCCACCTGACCTTCTCTTTCTCTCTCATGGATTCATTGAGACAACCCTTGATCCATCTGTTCCACATCACTCCAATACAAAATAGGCACCACCACAATAGCTACAGCGACACATGCATCACCAGAGTACATCACGATATTTTGGGGGTGTTTTATACTTCAAATTGGTTTTATGGCAGAAATGGGTTATGGTTATGAAGGAGTTCATGAGTTTTTGGTTGGTGGGCTGAGGGGAAAAGGGAGGGAGATGGTGGTGGGTTTCATTATATGTTATTGGGAGGCAAGGGTGGCCTGGTGGTGTAGTGTGTGCGTTTGTGACAAGAGTGGTGGGGGTGTTCCTTGTCGAATAAACATGATGGCGCTGGGGAGACATATATATATATATATATAGAGAGAGAGAGAGAGAGAGAATTTTTCCACGCAGATTGGTATACACCAGTATGCATTTGTGTGTAGTAGATTAGATAGGGAGGAGAAATTGGTTTTTGAGATGCGATTAATGAAAGCTGGGAAGGAGAAGGGGTGGGCAAGTGTATGCCAGAAAATGGAGAAGACGACTTTTGAGTGAAAGAGATGGAAGGGTAGTATAGTCTTTTATTGATTTTTGTTACACACATGAGACAGACGTTACTGACAGGGGAGGTTAGTGTTATGTTTCATACATGACGGGGTCTCATTGTTATTTAATCAAACCTCAGGAGAGGTGGATGTAATTTATCCTACATTAAATCACACACTAATATACTAGGCTTGGACGCGGGTATACTAGTGTGTGTGTGTGTGCGCTTTTTTTTGTTGTGTATTGGTATATACGTGTGTATGTTTAAGTGTATTAATGTGTTGGTGTGTGTGTTTTGTTGTGTATTAGTATATATGTGTGTATTTTTGAGTGTATTAATGTGTGTGTTATGGTGTACTAGTGTGTGTATTTTTTGTTGTATTATTAGTGTGTATTTAATTTGATTGCTTTTGTTATTCAATACAAAGATAAATGTTCAATCCAATGGGTTCCCATTTATAATTCATCTTAACCCGCTTAATTAAAATGAGTCCTATTACGCAACCCTTTTAGAATTCACATTAATTATCTAACCCATTTATTTCTATAAAAATTAGAGTTGAATCCTTTTTAAGGAACTTATAACGAGTTTAGTTCGTCAAGAAAACTTATTTGAAAATAAGTCTATTTTTAATCTTATTAATAAGTAGTTAAGTCCACTATTTTTTTTAAAATTCTAAAATATCCTTCTATAAGAGCAATGTCAGAGAAGGTACTCCAACAGTTCTGAGGAAGAAGGCAGCAACAACTATTGCTTGAGGTGCTGCAAGCTCTATCTGTATTTGGGATGTAATTTTGAGACTACTTTATGATATTTTCATTTGCAATTTATTGTTTTCCAATATTAGAACAAGTAGATTTTAGAATATTATGAGGGTTTTCACCCATTTTTATTATTTGAGTGATGTCTTTAACATTGTTTGATCGTTAGTTGATTTGAGATTTGGGAATGACTGGATTAGACCATTAACAATCAAAATTTTTATTTTCTTCTTTAAAAAAATAGAGCAAAAAAATAGATGAATAAAATATACCTAATTTATGATAGTAGTGTTTACTACAGATAAACCCATATAAACTCGTTGAAGTAAATTATTTATTTTTGGTTTAAATGTTACTATTTTTGTTTTTGAATGTTACTATTTTTTATTTTTTTAAAATTTTTTTTGTTTGTTATTAAATGTTATTATTTTTTAAATATAAATATTATATATATATATATATATATATATATATATATATATATATATATTTGGAAAGAGAAAGAGAAAAGGGGAGGAGAACTTAAACCCTTAACCTTAAAAAAAAAACCTTTAAAAAATAAGAAATATCATTAAACCAAAAGCCATTGATTTTTTAAAATATTTTTGTTTTCGATTTTGAATATTACTATTTTTTTGTTTTTAAATATCCCACATGTTTTTTTTTTACCATGTTACTGTTTTTGTTAAACATATTACTGCTGTTATTTTTTTATTTTTGAATATTACTATTTTTTTGTGTTTAAATTTTATTATTTTTTTTAATATTACTATGTGTGTGTATATATATACTAGAGATAACATGTGCCTGCAAGCACGGTACAACGTAAACCAACCAGTTAATTTCTCAAAAAATTTAATTTAATTTGCTTTAAGTTAAGCAATTGAAATTAATATAATCCCCAAATATTATTTGGAGACTATTTCGATAGAGTTTATTCTAAAAATAAGA